TACTTAAATATTAATATATATTACCTTCCAATTGGATTAATTTCCATTCCTTTTAAATTGGAATTAATTCCAATAGGATTTATTTCCAATAAAAAGTATTGGAAAAAAACTCCAATTGGAATAATATCCAGTTGGGTTTTATTCCAATCGGATTTTTTCCAGTTAAATTAAATGGAAAAAAATCCGATCGGATTTTCCGAAAAATGCTTAAATAGACGCTATTTCAACAAGAAAATGCATACACATACATATTAATCATGTGTTTATGTATTTCGACAATTTCATAAAAATTGAAATTCCCGTTGGAATAAATAAAAATATTGGAAAAAATTCCAATTGGAATTTAAACAATTCCACCCGGAAAGCTTAATTCCGGGCAGAATACATGAATTACCGCCCGGACAATTTTTTTAAAATACAATTTTTGATAAGAATTTTTTTTTCAAAAGCTTCAAATGAAGTCAATTATTAATAATTAACATTAAATCTATCGGATGAAATGATTTTTGAGTGTTTAGGGCAAGTATAAATGGTAGTGAAGTTTGCCACTATCCCGGTGGTGCAAAGATTTTCTGGTGGCTGTTCCGGATAATAACCGCCACATGAACACATCCACAGATGTTAAAAACACCGAAGTGTACCAGTTCATGTTTAATGTGAATTCTGCTGAAGCCGGTGCTAGGAGGCGTGGATGGTAGCTTGCAGTTACCACTACCGTCCATGAACAAAGTTAATCAAACTGAGACATTTTCATGTTTTCCGTGTCGGACTTTTTTAAGGATTCTTTTTCCTCTATTTTATTACTAAAAGGCATATCATAATGTATAATGAAATCAAACAATAGTCTTTCTTCACTCAATACAATTCGATAAAAGTTACTGTTGTTGTCGTGAAAGCAGTCCTTACTTAGGACATTACTTATTCTGCAAAAAGTCTCAATTTGAAACTTAAAGTAACAAAAATAGCAAACTATAACTTTTCTGCTTAAGAAAAAAGGAATACAACCTTTAAAGAATGTATTAAATAGAAAGATATAAGTTCTTGTATAAAAATAATTGATACACGTACTTTGTTTGAAATTTGGCAAGTATCTAAACTGTAACAGAAATCTGGGTATAAACTGTAACAAAATTGGATAAAAGTCGCTAGGTCTATGCTGTATCCCTTCAAAATTAACCTCGCTCTATACTGTAACATTGCTTATTTTTTCAATTGCATTTTACCAACAGAAAAATAGGTTCAACTGGTCATTTACTTTTATAAACGTTTCTAAGCACAAAGGATTAACGTTTTTGTAGATTTACTATTTCTAGGCATGGTTAAATAATGTCGGAATGGGAGAAAAAAGCTTTGATCTCTCGATTCAAATTTTTAAACCGTCAAATCTGCACATTTAAGAGACAATATAGCGATCAATCAGCGGTGCAGGGTCTGAAGAAATATATAGTAAGATACCGGATTCTGTTTCTTACAAGCAAAGCACAAAAACATATTTTAGAAACTAAACTACTTGTAGTATGGATCAGAATAAAAGTCACCCACCTCTCTTCCCATAAATAATCCTTCATCTTGAAAATTCTATACTGTAACCGAAAAACGCGATACTGTAACACGTTCCCTCCGGTGGCGGGAGTCACGCTCGAAATTTTCTTACTCATCGGAGGGCAAAGTAAGGAATACTCCAACATAACAATAACAACAACATATTGTTACGGACTGGAAAGGGAACATAAAACATGATTTTCCCGCTAAAAGCCAAGCTTATAACACAGTACAGTCAACCTGGTAAATAAGGACCATCCAAAGAGAGAAAATATGTGGTCTTAAATGACAAAAGGTATTTTTCGGAATGTACATTTTTAATTATGGTTTCTGAAAAGGTGGTCTTTAACTACACGGTGGTCTTAAATTGGAGTTTGTCTCTAACAAAGGTTTGACTGTATCTCAATATTGAAAAGTCACATGCATAGCGTATTTAAGTAAAATCTTATTTGTTTTCATCTGTGTCCCTTCGGTACGGATATTCCTATTTGAACCGCAGCATATGACATATATAATTAATATATTATACATCTGTTAACTTTCAAGTGAAAACGAAACCTTCAACGCTGTACTCATTTCGTAAATTGACAATTTAGCAAGTCAAAACACATTGATTTTCTGGCGCACTGCATAACCAGTTTAAATAACGCGCGAAACTTCTAATATCTGATGTAAAATAAATAAATACATGTGTAGATAAATAAATAAATAAATAATTTATGGAACTGTGACTTGTGTACACGTAAAATGAAACGTCACTCTCACATTAGACTTGCCAAATATTGTACATGTATGTGAAGTTGGCTTGTACATTGTACATCGAAGTTCAGCTTGTAATTTGCCAATAACAAGCTTGTAGTTGGGTATTCAGCTTTTAGTTCGGTTTGTATAGTCAACTTGTAGTTCGCCAATTACAATCTTGTTTTTCGATATTAAGCTTGTAGTTCACCCTAACTGCACCAGGATTCATAATATTTGGATTACAAGCTTGTAGTTGGACAGTTATCTTGTAGTTTAGCCCAGATACATCAGCATACGATATATTTCAATTACAAGCTAGTAGTTGGGCATTCATTTTGTAGTTCGAACCAAATACATCAGCATACATTATATTTGAATAACAAGATAGTAGTTGGGTATTCATCTTGTAGTTCGGACCAATACTGCAGCATACGTTATATTATAAATTACAAGCTAGTAGTTGGGTATTCATCTTGTAGTTTGGACAAACACATCAGTTTACAGTATATTTGAATTACAAGCTACTAGTTCGGCATTCATCTGGTAGTTCAGACCAAATACATCAGCATACATAATATTTGAATTACAAGCTAGTAGTTGGGTAGTCAGCTTGTAGTTCGGATAAATACATAAGCATACATGCCATTTGAATGACAAGCTAGTATTTGGGTATTACTCTTGTAGTTCGGACCAAATACATCAGCATACATTGTACTTGAATATAAAGATAGTAGTTGGGTATTCATCTTGTAGTTCGGACAAAATATTTCAGCATACGTTATATTATAATTACAAGCTAGTAGTTAGGTATTCATCTTGTAGTTCGGACCAAATAATGTATATCAGCATACGTTATATTTGACTAAAAGCTAGTAGGTGGGTATTCATCTTGTAGTTCAGACAAAAACCTAAGTTTACAGTATACTTGAATTACAAGCTAGCAGTTGAGTGTTCATATTGTGGTTTGAACAATTTCATCAGCATACATTATATTTAAATTATAAGCTAGTAGTAGGATATTCATCTTGGTTTTAGCCCAAATACATCAGCAAACATTATATTTGATTAACAAGCTTGTAGTTGGGTATTCAGTTTTTAGTTCGGATAAATACTAAGCATACATGCTATTTGAATTATAAGCTAGTAGTTGGGTATTCACCTTGTGGTTTGGACAAAATACATCGCAAAAAACTACATTTTTCGGTATATTTTGATTTGTTTTTCTCGTTGTTATTCGAAATAGCTCTACTCGTAGTTCACTGCAATTGGTAGTGATCTTGGCCGCAATCGAAAAACTGGCACAATTTTTTTCTAGTGATGACGAGGGCGGGATAGATGTGTGTCTGTTTCAGTTCAAAAGTAATTGGGAGAAAACACAATTAATAGAATTGACTATTTGCTATATTTTCGAAATGGCATGCGCAGGATTTGTACACACTTCTAATCAACAAAATAGAACTTTTTGTATTAAATCTCAATTAAATGCATCAATAGGTTCATATAATATCCAAGGAAATGAAGCTTTTTTGGACAAATTTAAATGTGCAAATATATTTGATAACTATTAGAAATCATAAGTCAAGTTTATAATACATGTGAGATGTTTATGTATCCAAACATTATTTTGCTTAAAATATATTGTTTGATACCTTTAGGACTACAAAAGAGTTTCACGTTTTTGTGTTCTCAAAGTGTATTGTTTTGTCATAGTGATCACATTCTAAAAATCTGAACAAAAATGCTTCAAACATAGTGTTGCAATCTCTAAATGGTTCAAGAAGATTTTCTTAGTATTATTCGAATTATTGCTGAATCATTTGTTAATGATATAATGTCAATTTGTTGCTATACAAACGTGCTTTCCCCAAACAAAATAAAAATTAACCTTTCACATTTTTAAATATTTCAAGTTTAGGTACATGATTTAAAATCTATATAACCATAATAATGATTTTTAGCCATGCTTAATGAAAATATTGCATGTTTTTTATGAATCATTGCAACATCTTTTTTTGGACTGCATGATGGAGAAAGGTAAGAATCAATATTTGGGGTTAGTTTTATGTGGCATAGGTCAATATAATTGGAGTAAGTACATTTGACGGCAACCGAAGGTTAATGTTGTTTCCTTCATTGAAACCTTAAATATTTGGACGGAATGAAGCACATAAAGCATTACATTGTCGTGTTCAGATCGATGCAAAAGCCTTTTAGTCTCCTCCAGTGAGCGAGAAGACCACCAAAGTTTGACATAGATTATTAATGTTTTAATGTCAGGCGCTCAATTTAACCACCAAAATTGGAGATTTCAATGACGATATATCACCACAAACCTGTCCTTGATTCACCAGACTAAGGAAACAAATAATGAGGACAATTTTTTGAAGTATGGAAAAACATAAATAAAAATTCGGACATATTGAGTCACAAGTTAAGATATCTTGACAATAGTAACTCCAAAGTATAAACACCAAGACCCTACGCTTTTTCTGTGCAGATAAACTGACACTTACCTCTTTTTTGTCTATCATATACCGTACGTGTTATTTGTTCTTCTAACATTTTGTCAAGTTGTTGTTCTATCTCTTCTGTATTCAATCCCCTCTCTGTATAAGTCAAAAGGTCTGCAAGTTTGCTCTGATTTGTCATTTTAAGACGTTCTTTGAAGTCTATGTAAGCAAGTTCGCCTTTTGATCTTACTTTTGTCAATATAACTTCGTTTTTCTTTGTTGTATTTGTCTCTTCCTGTAACAGTGTACTTGCTTTTGTAATCTTTCTATTGTAGATATACATTTTTGAAGCTGTTTATGTTAACAAACATATATCACATGATCACGGTCCGTAGCCGCATACAAAATTATCTTTATATATTATTAAATATACAGGTAATTACACTTTCAAATTTTTAAATTAACAAAAAATAGCCCTTGAGTAAAGTTAATGACACGTAAATAGTAGTTATTACACACAAGATTCACTATCGCTTAAACGGTTCAATGTTTCAATGTTAATATATTAAAGCAATATCCCCATATGAATAAATTGAAATTTCGTATACACCGTCTGTTATGGATATTATGATAGTTAGTCCTCGTAACAAAAGAAACCAATATTGAAAATTCCACTCATTAAAATAAAATGTACTTGTAATAATTTTACATATTAACCTATATTGACACTAGCAAATTATTTGTTTTGAAAAAAACGGGTTTTTCTAATAAAAGTATCCAAATGGCAGACTATATTCTTGACTCAAGGATTTTTGGTTTATATAGTATAGTGATTCAGGATTATTCCATTTTGTTTCCATTCCTGAAAATCTTTTAGCAGTCATATAGAATTAATATTTTTAAGATGAATTTAAAATATCAAGATAATATGCAATGAAGCATTTCATAAAAGTATTTGATATTATACCTTCATGTCCCGTCTGTCAGTGAAGGAGAATAATTCGAACCCTGTGTCAAGGTGAATGATTTCATCGGGGATGAGATATGTTTTAAGCTTCCTCGTGCTTTGATCGAAGACTTTTCGCCAAACCTCCATTTCTAGCTCTGTAGATTGTACAGCCATCTTTTCTTTATTAAAATATATTTATAAAAAAACTTAAAAATAACCAAATATATTTGCTTTTGACTTCATTTCGAGAAGAAAGTAGGGGCAACGTAAATTTATTTACACATGTTTGCACTTTGACAGTTTGCTAAGCAAAAAGGCATTACAATTTAAATACGGAAACCAATGATCTGCTGCAATGCTCAGCTGGCAAAGCAATCTAGTGGGACATTCCTAAATATAGAGGAAAATGCTCTGTTTGAATGCTCAGCTGGCTAAGCAAAATCTAGTGTAAAAATAATCTGGTGGAATAATCAGCTGTCCTGGCAATCTAGCGGAGCATTCAGAATGGTATGCAGGATTGATCAGTTGGCTAAACAAATCTAGCGGGGCATTCCTTAGTATAGTACAAAATTACTCTGCGGAAATGCCGAGCTGGCAGAGCAATCTAGCGTGTCATTATGAAATAATTTGTAAAATAATTTCTACTGAAATGCCGAGCTGGCATAGCAATCTAGCTGACCATTCCTGAAAACAGTGTATACATGCTTATCTGTAATTCTCAGCCAACAGAGCAATCCAGCAAAAAAATCTTAAATATAAAGTTAAATTGCTCTGATAGAATGCTCAAATGGCACAGCAATATAGTGGGCTATGTTCTTAAAAAGTGTAAAATTCTCTGCTGGAACGCTAAGCTTGCAGAACAATATAGTATAAAATTGCTCTACTGGAATGCTGAGTTGGCTAGATAATCCTAAATAAAGAATCAAAATGATCTATGGAATGTTTAGCTGGCTAACAATCTAGCGGTACATTCCAAAATATTGTGTAATATGCTCTGCTTGAATGCTCACCTGGCAGAGCGATTCCACTAGAGCATTATGAAAAATACATTGAAAACGCTCTGTTTGAATTCTCAGCTGGCTTAGCAAAATTTATTGTAAAAATAATCTGGTGGAATAATCGGCTGTCCTGGCAATCTAGCGGGGCATTCAGAATGCTATAAGGGTTTGATCAGCTGGTTAAGCAATCTAGCGGGGCATTCCTTAGTATAGTACAAAATTACTCTGCGGAAATGCCGAGCTGGCAGAGTAATCTAGCGAGCCATTATGAAATAATTTGTAAAATAATTTCTACTGAAATGCCGAGCTGGCATAGCAATCTAGCTGACTTTTCCTGAAAACAGTGTATTCAATGCTTATCTGTAATTCTCACCCGACAGAGCAATCTATCAAAAAATTCTAGAATATAAAGTAAAAATGCTCTGATAGAATGCTCAACTGGCAGAGCTATACAGTGGGATATGTTCTTAAAAAAGTGTAAAAATCAAAAATATATTTCAGAATTCTAAGCTAAATTGCTCTACTAGCTATGCATTCAAGCTAAGCATTTTTACATAAAATTTCAAACTGTCTGACTAGATAACTTTGCAAACAGAACATAAAGCAGAGTATTTTTCTGCAGTAGGTATTTAGGAATGACTCACTAGATTGCTTAGCCAGCTGAGCATTTCAGTAGAGAATTTCGAACTATATATTTAAGACTGATTCGCTCGATAACTTAGTCAGCTAAACATTCTAGCAGAGCATTTAAAACAATATTTTTAGGAATGCTCTACTAGATTGCTTTGCCATTTTAGCGTTGCAACAGAGCATTTTTAACACGGTTTTTAGAAAATCCCTGCTAGATAGATTTGCCAGTTGTGTATTCCAGCAGAGCATTTTCGAAACTATATTTAGGAATGCTTTTCTAGATTGCTCTGCCATTTTAGCGTTGCAACAGAGCATTCCTTAAACTAGATTCGGGAATTCCCCAATAGATTCCTCTGCCAGAGCATGTTTACACTTTATTTAAGAATGTACGGCTAGATTGCTTAGGCGGCTTAGCATTCGAGTGTACTATTTTGAGGAATGCCCGCTAGATTGCTAAGCCAGGAGAGCATTAAAGCAGAACATTTTGTATACTTTTTCCTAATTGCTCTTCTAGATAAGCACTACAACAGAGCATTTAGTAACTTATATTTAGGAAGGTCCCGTTTGATTGCTCTGCCAGCTTGGGTCTCGTGATTACGAGATTGACATTTACGGGTTAATTTGCACGGACGGTTAAGAAAACAGAACCAATGTACTTCTTACCTTTTTTATAAACTACTTTTTTAAAGATATCAGGAAAGACGATTTACTGACTTTTGTATTCAATATAATTTAATAAATGAGTACTAAAATATAAAGAAAATAATTAAAAACAATTTTGAAAGCTCGTCAACAAATATTTTCTATGACTCGACTCTAATCGGTTCCCGCAAATAACGGCATACCATGTTACCGGCTACTAAATTTCATGGCCGACTGTAGTCGGGGTTATTGATGTTGGCAATCTTAATGATGGCATTGAATTTAATATTTTGATACTTTAAATGGTATAGATCGATATTAAAATAATTGTTCTATCTCAAATTGCACAATAATTAATTGGGATAATGATACTTGCAAATGAAAAAAGGTCATATCAACGGTACTATGTTATTCTTGTTAGGTTTCGTAACGGGTCTAATCCAAAACTAAAATGACGTACCAGATTAAAAACAAAATTGCTAAAGAGCAGCTTATAAAGTTATGGAAGTCAGAACATAGTTTGTTCTGCTATTGTTGTCCGGTATATGTATAAAACGGCTTTCGGGTTATTATGGAACATCTCCATGTCATAAACGCATAATGGCGATTAGAGACTAAGTATTAATCTCTAAATACAGAGTACATTTTCTAAATTTGAAAAAGTTAAAAGTAATAGTTTGGTTGACAGAGAAAGAAATTATAGATACGATCTTACGGATGTTAAGTGCTATACATCAACTAAATAAAAATATGACAGCAGCCACTGTCATTTTGGAAAAGTTTAAGAAATCAAAATATTGACAACATCAATTTATTTTAAGATAACAGAAAATCAACTAATATTCCAGAAACTGCATTTAAAGCATACAATGGAAAGCATGCTGCTCTCATTCACGACGTTACATTGTTTGTGTTGAATAGCCATTCTGTACTCTTAAACGATCTTTTTCCATATTTGTTGATATGATTCACATGCGTGCATATTCGTAATCATATTTTGGAAGCACTTTTAATTTACCACAGACTATATTTCTGAGAGCCTCAAAATCAGAAAAGTGGTCTGATTTTTTTTCCAACAACAACAACAATATTGTCAAGAAATGAATATTTCAAACAATGTTTAATATTTCATGCTTTTAAATGAGATTCTTAAATATACGACTGATACACCGGTAATAAGTGCTAAAACAATTCATTAATGCGTATCTTTTTTATATTGTCAATCAGCATTTATATCATACTCTATCATTATTATAACAGAACGAAAATCTGTTTATTTTCATTTCTTTTTTTTTGTAAATTGATGAAAGACATTAAAAAAAATGGGAGAAATTAAGTAAACATGATATAATGTAATATTATATAATGTAAAGTGTATAGATACAGGAACAACGTTTTGTGTTACAATTTACACTGATTTACATAATTTACTACTAGCATACAGATATGATAAAATGTATTACTTTAACAACATAACATGCATTTATATTTAATTTAAATATGGATTTTTAGGGATTTTATATACTGGTTTTAATATACATCTTTTGGATAAAGTGGCTAGTAGCTAAGTTATAAACACGGATACGCTCCCTCCACATCCATTTGATTCTTCTGTTTTCTGTTTGGTTTAAAACATGATTTTCACTGTCCAAGCAGTAGTTGTTGTATACACCAATTAAATTCAAACACGTCTTGACTTCTTTAATTTAGAAAAAATAAAAGTGAGCTGGTAAGTGCAAATGTCATTTTTCAGTTTTGTTTAACTACAAATAGTTCTTCATAAATACTATGGTTGAAAAAAAAAACTGGTTTCCAAGTTGAGTGAGTAAAAACTATACAAAATAACACCATTGAGCTATATTTATAAATTTAACACTTCATTTTTAGCATTGCTTCGCTACAAATAGTACTTTTTATGTTATCTTTTCAACTCGGTCATTCAATTTTAGTAAATAAAACGATAAAACGATAAAATGTTCAAATAAACACGAACATTTTTAAAATTATAGAAGAGCTAGTTCTATGAGTAGAAGTCACTGTATCATTTATTGCAAGTATTTTTAATTCAATATGTATGATGTTTGAGTGATTATGATTGCCGTCATATTTTACTTCCAATCGCTGTATCATTTATTATAAGCTGGCACAATTTAAAATTATTTATTTTTGCGACTACAGTATGTTATGTAACTTTGTTTTTGCACAGTATAATTGACATGAAACTAACAAAGTGCTCGTTCAGACGTTGTTGAAATAAATAAATTCTTATTGATTTATTAAAGGACGTGTTTTTGTTGTACAATATTAGCTAAAGTAACATTCAATAAATATACGGCATGTTTCTTTAACACAACTAATATCTGTAAGAATCAATCTTAATTCAATATGCATGGCTAAACATGCTATAGAAAGGTTTGAAAGACAGTTATAACATACCGAAACGATTGCTGTAATAAAACACATAATGGGCAATCATTAAATAAAATGTTGAGCACAGGGGGCATCAGACATATTTTATCTATCACGTGCGCACGCGATAAATACTATGTGCGCATGCGGTATGTATTACGTGCGCACGCGATAGTAACTACGTGCGCACGGGATATACCCAACGTTGGTCATTCATAACGTGCGCACGTAAATGCTATCGCGTGCGCAGGTAATTGCTTGTACGTGCGCACGTAGTAGTAGTTATCGCGTACGCACGTGGTACCTATCGAATGCGTATGTAGTAGCTATCGCTATGGTGTAAGAAATGCTCAGCTGTAATGCTAAGCTGGCTTAGCATTCTAGCGCGGCATTCTTAAAGTATAGTATAAAAAAGCTTTGCTTAATGCCGAGCTTGCTCAGCAATCTAACTAGGCTTTCTTAATATAGTGTTATAAATGCTCTTCTGGAATACCGAGCTG